TTTTTTTTTTTTTTTCACCTCAAACGGGAAAGGCAGCCAAACGGAGAAAAAAAATTAAGCACTCGTACGTATAAACATATATATATGTGCGTTTACGTGGGATGACCAAAGGCAGTTCCGTTCCACAAGCAATGTTGCGAAAGGTATGGGCAGGCTGCTCTCAAGTAAAAAGGAGGCAACAAGGCCCATCCATGTAAGGTGACAAATGAAGGCAAGAAAAAAAAAAAAGCAATTGTTGTTTCCCCCCATCGGACCACTTAACGCGCCTGCATTTTTATTTATTTTTTTTTTTTTTCTTTGGGCTCATTTTTCGTCCCCCAAGTGCACTACGCATGAGATGATGGAGTGTAGCTTCACTTCGTTTGGGCTTGGGTGCGACGAAAATAAAAAGTGCCATACCATATATAACGGTAACTCTGTGCGCTGACAATATATAATAGTTGTGGCATATTGGGGGCATATAATATATGAATGCGATCATCCACAAATGAGGGCGGACTTTACGTGCGGGTTGTGGTAGTGGAGTGGTGCCATTCGGGCCATTCGCGACATGCCCCCGTGGGGATTGGCCCATCGGTACGCAGCGGTTTACCCAACCCCTGAAGGGGAAAATGTCACGCAGAGTTGAAACAAACACAAAAAAAACTCCCACCCACAATAATATTATTTTTGTAGATATGCAAAAAACTGCGCGAACATATTTTTAAATTAATTTTTTTTTTTTTCCTTTCACAAAGTTTAATTCCTTTTGCTAGAAAAAAAAAAAAAAAAAAAAATTGAGAACAAAGGAAAAGAAATATTTTTTTTTGTTTGTAACAACTTTGAAAGATATATATATATATCCTACGCCCTTTTTATCTTTTACAAAAAATTATCTTAAGTTGTGAACAATGGGATCAGGTACGTTTACATTTCCTATATGTCACATGTGATATGCCTGCTGTGCTTCGCGTTCGTTGTATCCCCTCCCCCCTGTTTCTTCCCGTTTTTATATGCTTCCAAAAATGGAACTGCATCATGCGCGTTGCTATAATTATGCATAACTCCATAACTGCGTGGAAAAATTGGGGGTAGAGCAAGGAAGCACAGTTTTAACCAGTGGAGCACTGGAGGCAGTGGCATACGTACGTGTGAACGTATTAATATATGACCCCACGCGTGCTGACTCTCACTTGATCGCTTTTGTACCCCACCCCACACCTGAGCAGGCAAACCAAGTGGATTGAGGGCAGCGAGAAAACTGCGCATCAGGAGAAGAACCCAGAGATGGGCTGACAAAGGATACAAGAAATCCCATTTAGGAACCCGATGGAAGTCCAACCCCTTTAGAGGAAGTTCCCATGCTAAAGGAATAGTCGTTGAGAAGGTTGCCATTGAGGCTAAGCAGGTGAGAAGGAGAGCTTCGTCGCCACCCAGGGGGGAAATTTTGGAAGAAAGGAGTGAAGTGAAAGGGAAAATGACCCCCAGTAGGGGGAATGGCCGCTCTATTATTAAAGAATCGTCGCGAAGGGACTGCATGTGGAGGATAGAAGTGCGCGCATAGCCACCCCGTCCAACCGCTCCTCCCCATTCCATTTGTGTTTCATGAGCCCACGTAACTCCAACGAGCTGATGAGTCAAAAGATGGATACAAAAAAGAAAAAAAAATAAGAAATTGAATTAACGTCTCTTCCGTTTTTATGACTTTTCAATGCATAAAAATATGTTAAACGTTTCCACATGCACATATATATATTGAGGTAGCGACGCTGTGTCTTCTCATGTGGAGTGATCGAGTGATTAGAGCGGGTTTGGCCCCGTTCACGCTATGTGGACGGGGGACACCCCTCCATTCCACCCCGCCCCCTTTTTTTTTCTTCCTACACATGATATAAATGATGACGCTGTTCCCATTTTTGTGCAGCCCAACTCCGCCTACCGAAAGTGTGTCCGTGTGCAGCTGATTAAAAATGGAAAGAAGATCACAGCTTTCGTTCCTGGAGACGGTTGTTTAAATTTTATAGACGAAAATGACGAAGTGTTAGTCTCAGGGTTTGGACGCAGTGGTCACTCTGTTGGTGACTTGCCCGGAGTTAAATTCAAGGTGGTCAAAGTAGCTCGAGTTTCCCTTTTAGCCCTGTTTAAAGAAAAGAAGGAGAAGCCAAGATCGTAAAGGGGGCGGGAGAGGTATAATCATCGCACCATGTGTGATGGAAATGCCGACGTTTATTTTTCTCCCTCGTTTATCGTAGCGGTGTCCCATCATATTGTGTGTGCTCTTTTTTACATGCGCGTTGAA